GAGAGAGAGAGAGAGAGAGAGAGAGAGAAGGAATTTTTTAATATTTATTTAATTAATATATTAAATTATATTTTTTACAGATATATCAATATATAAAATGATTTAGATAAATTATTAATTATTAATAATATTCGATAAATCAAATGAAATGATTATAATTATGATTAATATTAATTATTTGATAAAATAAAATTTATAATTGATCATAATATATACATTCATTGAACTTGATATCTTGTTAAATTTTTCCATAAATCCGATAAGATTTCATATTGTAAGAAAATTTAATTATTAATTATTAATTATTTATTGTAAATATTATTTCTCATATTTCACATAAATCAATTATTATAAATTTACAATGAAAATAATTCATATCATATTCATCTGTTTGTAAAGCTCATTAATTTTTATAGATTATCAAATCATTTCAGAAATATTATCAAAACAAAACAAGTTTATACAATCTAACATCAGAGAGATATATCCCCTCTTTCTTTATGAACAAAGATCAAGTCTTAGTACTAATCAATAGCTAACTGAACTTCAAACATGAAGATCTTACTAACTATTTACTTGGTTGTATATGTTTCTTTAACACAGTATCAAGAAATTTCTGCTTTTAATAAGAGCATTCCTTTGGTAGTTATTACTTGGGATTATGAAAATGCTACACAAAGAGGTAATTGTTTGTATATTCAAAGAAATAATTTCATAAGACTATGATAATAATATAATAATTTTATTGATATGTGTTTATAATTTGTTTTAGCTTGGAATGTTTTAAATAATGAAGAGAGAAGTGCTCTGGATGCTATAGAAGAAAGTTGCAGTTTTTGTGAAGATCAGAGATGCAGAAAAACTGTAGGATATGGGGGTAGTCCAGATGAATCTGGAGAAACAACTTTAGATGCTCTTATTATGGATGGGTATATATATATAAATAATACATTTATATATACATATATAAAGTATTGTTTCTGATTTTATTATTTGCTTAAAAATAGAGTAACAATGGATGTAGGTGGTGTAGGTTTATTAAGAAATGTTAAGAATGCGATTTCAGTTGCCCGTAAGGTTTTACATAATACTAAACATTCTTTAATTGGTGGAGAACTAGCCACAAAATTTGCTGTAGAAATGGGATTTAAAAAAGAATCTTTACAAACAGAAGAATCAAAGAAAATGTGGTTAGACTGGAAAGCAAATAAATGCCAGCCTAATTTTTGGAAGGTAAATTATTTTTATTACAGAAATTCTATATATATCTAATTATACATATATCTTTTCAGAATGTAAATCCGGATCCAACAAAGACTTGTGGACCATATCATTCAAAAGACTTTATGGACAACAATTTGGAGGAACATTTATCATATATGACTGAAGAAAACCACGATACGATCGGAGTTATAGCTATAGATTCAAATGGGCATATAGCAGCTGGTACATCAACAAATGGTGCTAGAAATAAAATCCCTGGTCGCATTGGGGATTCCCCAATAGCAGGTGCAGGTGCATATGCTGATCAAGATGTTGGTGCGGCAGCTGGAACCGGTGAAGGAGATATCATGATGCGATTTTTACCAAGGTAAAAGAATTCAATGAATAATATAATTTTTTCTATTTTGCAGTTTTGTATCTAGGGATTTTTTTAGTTTTTTAGCTGTAGAGGAAATGCGCCGTGATGCCACTCCTACTGCAGCTGCAACCACAGCAATTAATAGAATCGCTAAACATTATCCTACATTCACTGGTGCAGTAATTGCATTAAATAAACATGGAGAATATGGAGCTGCATGCAATGGAATTACCCGTTTTGCATATTATGTGGCTAATCCTGAATTAGGAAAACCAACGATACATTATGCTACTTGTATAGATGCTAAATATCAAGTTTTTAATGCTAAAAACATTTAATGATTTTTTTGTAATTTTTTTGATTTCTGATGTTTACTAAGAAAAATTGATAATATTTTTTAATTACAATAAAAGTTGAAAGTATGCAAAAATGAAATATTATTATTTTTTAAATAAAATTTTAATTTTTTTATATTTAATTTGCTCAAAAAAATTTAAATTTAAAATCATAATCTTCTTCCGTTAGATGTCAGTAACATTCAAGATTTCTGAAGAAGATTCACATATGTAAAATATATTAATCTGAAAATTAATAGAGAGGGAATAAACAAAATTTAACAACGCCATCTATCCAATGATATGATATATTATATAATACTATTAAATAGTAGCTAGTAGATGGCATCGCGTTGTATCATTTCTCTAATAGGTTATTGTTTTCTTAAAGTTCTCCACTCTATTACTTTTTAACTTTGTGATATTTGTTAATAAAGATATTTTATTGTGATAATAGTAGCTGTCAAAATATATTCGATTCAATGATAAATTCTTTTTTAAGTCAATATTATAAATTTTAAAATATCAAGTATATGTAAGGTATATACTTATAATTTATAACATTAGTATTTTATTTAATTTTCAATTTCTTATAATAATTTTAATATTTAACAAATTAACCTCAATATTTTAGAACATTTATATACAATAACCAAAATGCCAGAAACAACGGAAGAAGATATGGGGATGTCTGTTCGTTTAACGAATGATGATTTCCGGAAACTATTGATGACACCAAGAGCATCTGTTCCATCTGCTACTCCAGCTTCTGTGCCTGGAACTGCTCGAGATGCTAATGCAAAAACTGCACAAACACCGAATGTCAGTGGTGGCAGTCGTGCAGAATTACGAAGGAAAAAGAAAAGTTTTTATGCCAAATTAAAAAAACAGGAAGAAGATAAAATGGCAGAATTAGCAGAGAAATATAGAGATAGAGCTAGAGAACGTAGGGATGGTACAAATCAAGATTATCAAGCAGAAGATCCAATGAATAGTGCCAGTGCATATCGTGCAGTTGCACCAGATTTGAAATCAGGAATGGATGCAGCTGAACGTAGAAGACAAATGATTCAACAATCAAAATTCTTAGGTGGTGACATGGAGCACACTCATTTAGTAAAAGGATTGGATTATGCTCTTCTTCAAAAAGTAAGAATCTGCAAAAAAATGATTTGTAATAGAAATAGAAATAAATTTATAAGATAATATTTTATTTTACAGGTACGTAGTGAAATAGAAGCAAAAGAACATGAACAGGAACAAGAAATGGAAAAATTGGTTAAGCCAAAGGATAAAAAAGATAAAAAAGAAGGAGAAAAGAAAGATGATGAGATGCAGTTTAAAACTAAGATAGGACGTAATATTTATAGAACAATTATAACCATGAAATCTAAACAGATTGAAAGAAATGAATTATTTACTCCTGGCCGCATGGCTTATGTAATTGAATTAGATGACGAAAATACAGATGTAGATATACCAACTACCCTCATTAGAAGCAAGGCAGATGTACCCACTATAGATAATACTCCTACTTTAACAACAAATGATATCGTAATAAACAAACTGGCACAAATTTTATCTTATCTCCGTCAAGGTAATCGTCACGGTAAAAAAGGAAAGAAGTATAAAGATGGTAGATCAAGACCTGACGATATGAATGACATGGATATTGCTCCAAGACCGCAAGACGAAAGTATCTATGGAGATATTGGTGATTATGTTCCAACGATTAGTAAGAAAGATCCAAATCAACCGCGGGAAAAGAAAAAAGGTTCTTATTTTGATAAACCAGAGAATGGTTTGGATACGGATGATAAAGCAAATACTCCTCAATTGCCAAATGTTGCATCTTCCAATTCAGATAATAATGCACCAAAAAAAGGTGCACTTCTTAATAAATTAGCTGCTGAACCAGAAGGATATGCAGAATGTTATCCAGGCTTGGATGAGATGCAAGATGCTATAGATGATTCGGATGATGAAGTAGATTACACCAAAATGGATCTTGGTAACAAAAAGGGTCCTATTGGCAGATGGGATTTTGATACACCTGAAGAATATAGTGAATATATGAATAATAAAGAAGCCTTACCAAAAGCAGCATTTCAATATGGTGTAAAAATGGCTGATGGAAGAAGAACAAGAAAATATAATAAAGAAAAAAATGAAAAAGCTGAATTAGATAGAGAATGGCAGAAAATTCAAAATATTATGAATAAAAGAAAACCCACGACAGTATTGGATGGTGCATCAGAATTCAAAGTTCCAAGATATTAAATATTCGATCTGTATAAATTTGTTTTTCCAATTAATTTTATTTCGTTAAAATAATAATATTATATGTATGTATAGTATATAATAGTATATAATCGATCTGTTCGTGATTAAAACATGTACAAGATCAGGGATATAATAAAAGACTGTACAATATTTTTAAATCTGTTCTGATTTTCTGAAATTGCGTTGCTAATATCATAATCGAAAACTTATATTATTTTTTTATTCATCTTGACCCAAGCTTTTGACCTAAACTGACTAAAACCAGTATGAAACTGATCATGTAAACATCATATTGATAACCTATGACCAATTGATAGGGGGGAATCTTTCATTCAGATTCGTTCGAACCAGTTAAAACTTGTAATTTACTATAATAGATCTAATAAAAATTATTAATTCTTAA